TAAAAACCTGTTAAATGGTTAACGGTAAATTCACCTACTTTATACGGTGAAAAACTGTATTAAACATTACATGTATTGGACATAAATTTTACAGTAGTATACCGTTTTTGGAAGTGAAAAGTCTGTATAATTTACAGCAAAAAACTGTAAATTAACATTCCCCGAATTCCCTGCGTTACATTTCAAATTTGATGATTTTTTGTTGAAATAACTTTGTTTCTTCTTAGTTTTTTCTTATCAGTTTTGTATATTAGGGTTGTGTGTTACACCTAATGTTGTTAAATGAATGTTTATTGCATTATTTCAGTTTCATGTGTGTTACCATGATGGTGTTTAGTGCTTGTGTGAATGACACTGTGCACCTTCCATATACAGTATGTTATTACTTAAAAGCTGTTTGTGTTGGCCTTTGGTTCATCATGTGACTTTCTCATCACGTCCTGCATTTGGTGGTTATCAGTGTATTACAAAGGTACAAAACAGTTTTCAGTACTTCAATAAGGTTGGTATAATAACATTATATCAGTTAATGAAATTACGGTATTTAACTGTAAATTTAAGTTAAACCCGTAAAACCTAAAGCGTTGCTACCGTATTTTTTACGGTAAAATTCCAGCAACCACAGCTGCCGGTTTTTACCGTAATTTTTTTTTACAGTGTGTTATAAGCTGGACTTTGGACGCTTTCACTTTTACTTTCGAATTTGCGATCTTGTTGTCACGTTTTACAAGAAATGATAATTGTCTGTTTTGCTTATATCTATACACACCTTTCACTTTTTAAGACTAAAACAAAAGATTGATTATTTGTTATTCCATAGTGTAAACAGCAAAGATAACAAGCTTTTTAAAACCAAAACAAAGAAAAGTCAAACTAAACTGGCTGTTGCTGACAGGTTTTAAATGTTTTTTCCACAAGAATACCAACATGTTCACCTTCTCTGGTTTAAGAAGCGGTTTTTTACTTTATTTTAGAGTGAAAACCAAATCCTCCATCTACCATCATTTCCTCAATATTCGCATCATTTTTGCCGTGCGCTGTGTTATTGCCCACTAAGTCTGGGCAAAAACCACAGTGACGCTTGACTTAGCAAACACCACTTAAAACTTGATTAGGTCTTTTCAAGTCAGTCAATGTCTACGGAATTCTTTCATGTGGTAAATAAGATTTAACGCACTGAGAAGCGCAAATTTGTGATGGAGATCTCCAAATCTAGAAATCTGAGCACTTTTACAGGCAGTAAAATGGGGAAATACACTAACTACTGTGAGAAATCAAGGGCCTTTCGAAAATAAAAATGCCTTATTGGTTGTTATCATGGATCTCATGTGTGCAGAGGCTGCAAATGTCAAGCCAGACACACGGATCGTCCAGATTTCTCACGGTTAAGCTCTGAATTGGGTTGTTAAAGCCCTGTTGGCCGGCCCACGCGGGATGTTTCATAAGGTTAAATGATGGCCCCTATTCTTCTTGGCCTTTCCAAACAGCAGGCCTTCACATTCTTTACTGCTGAGCTAGTTTCACCTTCGACCTCCGACACTTTAGAGACATTTAGCAGATGTAGATTAAGCCAAACGCTCCTGTCAATTACCGGACGGATCAAAAGCAATGCCTCCAATTTAACTCGGATCATGACACAGACAATAAACAAGAGGAAAGGTTTACTTTAGAGAAGGTGCATTACTTGTTACTACAGTCGAGTTTGTTCCGGGTCCTCTGGTGTCGTTCTTTATGACCGACAAAGTCACTTCATATTCCTGTCCCGGCCCAAGTCCCGGTTGCTCAAAGTTGGTCTGGGAAGGTGTCAGATTGTTCACTATCTTCCCGTTTTCTTCCTTCTGTTATTGAGAAGATAGAAAAACATGCATTTAGCTTTATTTACTATTGATTGTTTTTGCAAAACCTGTCATGTATTTAAGAGAATGTATACATCAGTAGTTTGCAACCAGAGGACCTGTAATAATAATAAAAAATAATAATGAAACACTTTTACTGTCCAAAAAAGGCTTCTATTCTTATATGCAAACATCATTTTCTAAATATGTATTTTTGATTCTTCACTAAATTTCCTAAACTTAAAATGATTTAAAATAAGATAAAACAAGCATTAAAATAAGCCAAAACAACTAATCTAGATATTTCTAGATATTTAGATATCTAGATTTAGAAATCTAGATATTTCCTGTTTTAATTCACTGCCCTCAACAACCTGAAAATAAGAGGTAGTCTAATTTTTTAGACTTAAAAGGCATATAAATTAATAAAAATGTGTAACCCCATGGGCACTTTTATAATGAGAATACATTTTTGTAATTATGCCAAGTTCTAAAATATTTATAGATGAATATATCTAAACTATAATCAAACTGTTATTTAAAAATATAATAATAATACAATAAATAAACAAATATTTTTTAAATACCTTGGAGTCAAATTACAAAACATCTCAGAGACATTTTAATAAATAAAAAATAAATAAATAATCCAACTAATAAATAAATAAATAAATAAATAAATAAATACATAAATATTTGGTGTATTTCAGACCAAAAATATTATAGTTTGAAAAGTTAAACAAACAAACAAACAAATAAATAAATAATTTAATTAAATAAAAATCTTTAAAAATAATGAAAAATCTTAACGGTTCAAAAATAGGCTCCTATTTTTAAATGAATACAATCTTAAAACTCCATGGACACACTTATAATGAATACACATTTCATTTTTTGTAGTTATGCTAAGTTTTAAAATATTTTATTGAGAAGAATTTTTTTTTCAATTTAAAAAAGGTTGAGCACCACTGATCTAGATGACCTCAAAGCTAACAGACATATACTAAAAGTCACAAAACTCCAATAATAACTTTTCAGAGTCTATATTTATACCCCCATTACTGAAAGTCATGATATGACAGAGAAAACGTGTCATGCATCTAAATTTTATTAGTTTCCTAAATGCTGGTGGCATGAAACAACAGCACTGAAAGTATGCAATAAGTTTAAACATCTGGGATTTCTGGAGCGCCATTAAAGTAAGTCTTAATGGAGACTTTATGGTTCAAGGATAGTTTTTTTAATGGCTCCTTAAATGAGTGTATGAGCTCATGTCCGCCTGCAGCGCTGACTCAAATGGAGAATATGTCCCTTCGCATCATTACAATGAACGGTGATTAAATTATCCATTACTCTGTTTTAAATATGAGAGAGATGCTCTGAAACAAGCTGCATGACTGTATAACCCCTGTATAACCCTGGCACCTAGGACAGCCTTTAGGAATAAACCGCCGTGTGAACATCTTACCGCAGTAAATCTATTGACCTAAAGGTTGAGCAGCTGGTACAGAGATCAATTTTTACTATTAGTTTTACTGCCAGTTATTAACCTGATGAAAGTGTATTTAGCATCTAGGGTATTTCAACACTTTTCTTGCACTTCGCTTTATAGCACTTCATGAATATGGCTCTGAATTGATTCCACGTCCTGGGAAGATGGTTTTTATGAAGTTAATGAAACTGACCTAAATTCCAATGCCTAGTAAGTCTCAAATGCTTGCAGTGTTTTGCTTGCAGAAGAGCAAAATAACTAAATACATATCCAATACTGATGAGGTCATACTTATTAAAATAAATAATTAAAAAACTAAATATAAAAAATCATTTGAAAAAACTGTAATAACATTAAAACACCCTAAAAATAATAGTAAAAAAAACCCATCCAAATAGGCTTTTTTCCTATATGCAAACATAATTCTTTTTTTTCTTGTCTATTTGTTTTACGTGTAAATATGAACATATCAAGAAAATGGCAAACAAAAAATTATTGAAGAAATAAACATTTATGTTTAGAAAATTAAGAATTTAAGATAACATAGTATATGTTGTGATTCAAATTCTTTGAGTCTGAGGGGCTAAATAAATACATAAATAAATATAATTCTGATAAAGCAATAATTATAAAATTAATTAATTAAATAAAAAAGCTATAAATAAAGAATTCTAAAAAAAAAGAAAAATGATAGGTTCATATTTTCCCTTTAAACAAATGAAAACCTTGGAAAGAAATCTTACGCAGTTTTGCCTCTCAGGTGAAGTGATCTTGTTTTTCAAGAATTCTGACTGTTTCGTATTGGAGAAGACAAAAACTCATTAAGAATGTATTATTGTATCATAGGCTAGATTATTGGCAGATCCAATCTGATTTTGACAACCCCATTCTAAATCACATTCATATTTTGTTTTAAATCCATTTTGCGATGTGACGTGTATAGAATGTCATGGACAATGTGCAGCAGCATCTACAGATGCATCTGAATTCTCTTTTTTGTGCCTAGATAAGAGCCTTCAACATTGTCTCCCGTGAAACTAACCGTGTTACGGAAGATGAGCTCCCAGCCGTCGAATGGAACGTTCAGCTGGTCCCACAAAACCTCCACAGACGTATCACTGATGGATTTAAACTTCAGGCCCTCGGGCTGCGGAAGATCTGCAGGGAACCGTGATATTCATTGAAGTTTATTAGCAATAGTCAGTGTCTGAATATGAGAGCGTTACCTGTGCAAATGTGTAGTGGCTTGGTGGACTAGTTTCTAATGCTGTTTGGACAGATTTGCATATGCAATGTAAGATAGCACATGCATATGCAATCATTGTCTGTGTTACAGATTTTTCTTTAAATAAAACATTTAATAGGTTTATAAACAAGGCCTTAGGATGGAGTGGTGTAGCTTAGTAGTTCATGCAAGATGGTTCTAGACATTCCCTATAATACGTGAACTTTTAAATTGCTTTGAATAAAAGATTCCGCTAAATGACAATAAAAGACAAGGGAGTGTTTAGGAAACCATTAGTTTGGTGACACTAATGACACTGAAAATACAAACTATAAGGCAGTAGAATAAATACTATCATAATGCAAAAATATTGTATAATTCAAAATTCAAAATGTATAATTATGCAGTAATGACAATATAAAAATAGGACTAGTTTTGATATTATAGTGATGAGAACTAATGAGAACTAATGAATTAAGTAATAACTTTGACTAATAAATAACTAATAAAATAACTAATAACTAAAAACAAACCAAAAAATTTTTTCTAAAAATATGATAACGGTGAAAAATCTTAATGGTCCAAAAAACGGGCTAATTTCCCCAATTATTTCAATAACTGTTTTGATGATCGAGTAAACCATGACCAGGGCATTTTCTTGGCAGGTTTATAAATAGTATCATGATGCTGAAACATTTTATAATTTGTAATTTAGAATTATACAGTAATTATACAGAAATTTGAACTATACAGTAATTATACAGTAATGACAATATAAGAATGATACTATTTTGATATTATAGTAATAAGAACTATAGGAAATGCTTATTTGTCATAATTGTCATAATAATACAAATTCAATTAATTAATTAATTAAATAAAAAATAACAAAAAATAAAAGATTACCTTAAATAAATCCTAATAATAATAATAATAATAATACTAATAGAAAATCTTAATGATAAAAAAAATGGCTAATCTCATAATTTATTTTCTTTAAAATGTATTTTAGAGTGAATTATTACTGGGTCATTTTCTTGACAGATTTCAAAAGATTTACTTTTAAACAAATGAAAAGCATGAAACACATTTTCTCTTAAGATTTTTGTCTCATGCAATTTTGCCTTACGTGAATTTATCCTGCTATTCATTCATTCATTCATTCATTCAATTCACTCACTCACTCACTCAAAAAACTCCTTAAGAATATGATTTTTTGCCATGCAGGTATTAATATCATTGGGTAGATGATGGTACCCTAATTATGAAAATGGCACAACTGCAAGAGACCACATCTCCAGTGACAGAAATTGAAGTGCAATTATACTTCTCAGCAGTTTTATCTAGTGATTGCATGTGTGTGTATTTGTGTAAGGTTGATCAGGACATGTGAACATACATGTGGCCACTCTGGCGCTGACAGGAACGCTCTTCTTGTTGTTGAGGACAGCATAAACATTGATGAGATACTCGATTCCCGGCTCCAGCTCAGAGACGGTAGCAGACGTACGATCTCCAGGTACACGGAAGTCCAGCTGCAGGCCGCCTGGTGACGTCGGGATGTACGTAACCAAATACTCCGTAACCAGCATCTCGTTCTTCCATGTGAGGTTCACCTTCTCCGTTGTCACATCCGTGACGGTCAGGTCTTCCGGTGGTGAGACTGGGAAAGATATCAAGGGTCATTTACATCACAGATGTTGAGAGAGCGAACGGTCTTTGGTGCCAAGTAGTCGGAAAATTGTCCGTGTCTCCACTGTGGTGACTGGGAAACATCCAGCCAAACTGCTGAGAGGTTAGAATCAAGCTACACTGACTAAATTAACTTGGGTTTCTTATTAATGGCAGTTTTTGGACCTTTTGATATGAGTTTAATTGTTGTCTGCGTTGACCTTCACCACTAATGGTCCTCTATATAAAGCTAATGGATTTCACAGGCACACATATGGTGTGAGTTTACTGTCAAAGTACAAAAAAATGAGCATAATCAGCACATTTCTGTACAAAGAGATGAATATAAAATAGTGTGTATGTAGTAGATTTTTTATGTTTTTGAAAGAAGTCTTTAATGCTCACAGAGGCTGCATTTATTTAATAAAAATACTGCAAAATTTTACAGTAAAAATGTTTACAGTAAAAATACAGTAAAAACAAAAATATTATTACAATATTAAATGCAAAGCTGAATTTTCAGCATCATTACTCCAGTCTTCAGTCTCACATGATCCTTCAGAAATCATTGTAATATGCTGATCTGTATTCATTTCTTTCATTTAATTTACTGACCAAGCTTTTGAACAGCAGTGTACTGTATATCATCAGTAAGTCATTTGTGAGTCTTATGGTCTGCGTTTATGGTGCTTTTCTGAGTCTTTTGATGCCTGACAACCCTGAGTTGTATGGAAAAGTGTATAAGCATGCTGCGTAACATTTCATTTAGTAATTCATTGGAAGAAAGGTTTGGAATAACATGAGGGCTACAGACGTTTATTTCTGGCTGAACTATCCCTCTAATTTACAAGCATAAAAGCTAAGAAATGCCAATCATCTGGCTAACACTTGAAAAAAAAAAGTGTTTGCGTCACCAGTACTAAATAAGAACTAATGCTTTTCAGGGTTATTATTGTTAACCTAAAACCATAAAAAATATTGTTACTTTAAATAAAATAAACATTAACTGAAATAAAATAAAACATAAAAAAATAAACTTGTTTTATTTTGTACTTTGTAAACTCATTAGTTACGAAAACAAGAGTTTTTATTTTCATGTAGTTTAACTTCAAGTACTAAAATAACCAGTGTTGAGGAAAGTTACTTTTAAAGTAATGCATTACAATATTATGTCACTCTATGAAAAAGTAACTAATTATGTTACTTAGTTACTTTTTATGGGAAGTAATGCATTACATTACTTTTGCGTTACTTTTTGTCACCTGGGTTGGGCTTGCTTGTGTATTTTTTTTAAACAAAAATCTCAAAAGTGATATTTTTGGCAGCTGTAAAGGCGCTTGTACACCAAAAGTGAAATTAATAAGCCCCAGGCTGAAAGAATTTCCAATTTCTCTCAACTTGGGGACAGGAGAGCTGTCAGCGAATACATGGGAAAACAAAGTAACTTGCATTACTTATTTGAAAAAGTAACTCAGATATTTAGTTGGAAATTTAAAAGTAATTTGTCACATTACTAGTTACTTGTAATCTGATTATGTAACTCATTAACTTGTAATGCATTATCCCCAACATTCATGTTATTTTAGTATCACTGAGACACTTTTAATATTTTGAACATATGTAAACATATTTTCCATTTTCATTTGAATTTTAGGTAAAGGTTTAATAATTTTGTTGTGTGTTTTTGTAATTTTTAGTGGTTTTTTTTAAATATAGGTTATGAATTTTTATTTGAGTTTTAGTTATTATAGTACACAAAGTTAAACTAAATTAAAATGAGAAATGCTGTCTTGACAACAATGTTTAAGTTTTTTTATATCTTATTTTCTTCCAGTTAACGTTTACTTCACAAGTTCTTTTTTTTTTTTAATTAACTTTTTTTAAATTTTAGTTTAAGTTAACTATAAAACCCCAGAAAATAACAAGTAAAACTAAAACTAAAATCAATAAAAATGATAAAAATGGCAACATGATAAAAATGTTTTTAAAAAAATTCTAAAAAAGAAACAAAATGATCTAAAACTTTAACTAAAATTAAAATGAAAATGGAAAATATGAAAATATAAACAATTTCAAAATATTAATATATAGTATATAAATAATACTATATATAGTATAGCATATAAACGACTACAATTACCTTCTGAGCAATCCTCGCCAATGTGGCCTTCATCACACACGCAGCGGCCGTCCAAACATTGCCCCACACCACTGCAATCATTCGGACAGCTTCTTTCTCCACAGGCGTCTCCAACGAATCCCTTGTCGCACACACATTTCCCATTGAGGCAGCGTCCACGGTTATTGCAGTTTCCAGGACAGGTGGGAACGGAGCAATCCGGGCCCTCAAAACCCTCCTGGCATACACACTGTCCTTCCACGCAGCGTCCGCGGCCGAGACAGTCATTGTGACACTTCCTCTGACCGCAGTCCTCTCCGGTGAAGCCTTCGTCGCAAACGCACTGTCCCGCGATGCAGCGTCCACGGTTCAGGCAGTTGCTTGGGCAGCTCAATTCACTGCAGTCTCCGCCAGTGAAGTCCGCAAAGCAAACGCACTTCCCGTCCACGCACTGGCCTCGGCCGTAGCAGTCCGACAGGCAGGTTTTGATGCTGCAGTCCTCGCCGCCGAATCCCTCTTCGCAAACGCACTGGCCGTTATCGCAGCGCCCACGGTTGTTGCAATTATTGGGGCAGCTAAACTCCGAACAATCATGACCTTGGAATCCGACGTCGCATTCGCAGTGCCCGTCGATGCAGCGTCCTCTACCGTTGCAGTTATTCGGACAGGAGAGCTTCCCGCAGTCCTCTCCGAAATAACCAATTTCGCAAATGCAAACGCCGTTGAAACAGCGCCCTCTTTGTTTGCAGTCGTTCGGACAGGTCAAGCTGGAACAATCCTCGCCGGAGTAGCCAGCAATGCATACACAACGGCCGTCAATGCAAAAACCTCGTCCCGAGCAGTCGTTCGGACAAGCGATCGTGCCGCAGTCCTCTCCGGTGAAGCCTTTATCGCAATAACAAGTCCCGTTGCCGCATCGCCCGCGGTCGTAGCAGTCATGTGGACAGATGAGCTCGGAGCAATCAAATCCGGTCCAGGGTTCGTCGCAGACACACTCGCTATCAATGCAGCTGCCGCGTCCCAAACAGTTGTTGAGGCAATCCGTCTCTGTACAATCGTCTCCGGAGAAGCCTTCATTGCAAACGCACACTCCGTTAACGCAACGGCCGTTCTCACCACAGTCAACTGGACAGGTCTCCACGCTGCAGTCCTCACCCATGAAGCCATCGAAACACTCGCACTTTCCGTTAGCGCAGCGGCCCTGGTCGCTGCAGTCTCTGGGACAGTCGGGAACGGTGCAGTTGGGGCCCTTCCATCCGGGCTCACAGATGCAGCCGCAGGTGTCCGTGCTGTAGTTTCCACGGCCGTTGCAGTACGGCTTTGTTCCTATAGCACCTACACAATCAGGAGATACATTTAAGAAATTAAACATGCTATTTGCTAAAAAAGTGGGATTTACAATTATGGAAACATCTCAATTACCAAGCCAGTCGAATGGCATTTGCTAAGGAAAGGGTCTTGACCTCCCAGCTGTACAAAGTGTTACACAATTATGTGTCAATGACGATATTAGCATTAGACAAAGTGGCTTTTTTATTTCAACACGTACTATTTTTTATTTATCATGAATTCTGTCTCTGAGATTTAATTAATCTTCAGAGACAGAATTAATTTAAATACTAATCTAAAAATAAATAAATAATTTTCTTCCTGTTTTAAACTGCTTTTTTATTTCAACACGTACTATTTTTTATTTATCATGAATTCTGTCTCTGAGATTTAATTAATCTTCAGAGACAGAATTAATTTAAATACTAATCTAAAAATAAATAAATAAATAAATTTTCTTCCTGTTTTAAACGAATTATCTGAGGTTAAATAAATAAATACATATTGTCCCCCTTTATATATATATATATATATATACATAATTATAATTATAATAAATAATATCCAATAATTTATCTTTTTCCCACACTCCCTGTCTGACTGGAAGAGGTGGAGGTACTGGTCTGCTTATCTCTAATGATTGGAAATTTATTCCTTTACCTTCTCTGGGTATTAACAGCTCCTTTGAATCTCATTCAGTCACTATTACCCACCCTTTTAAAATCCATTTTGTAGTTGTTTATCGACCCCCAGGACCACATGGTAACTTCTTGGATGAATTAGATGTGCTGCTCTCAACCTTTCCTGAGGATGGTACTCCCATAGTTATGCATTAAGACTTAAACATCCACCTAGATAAACCTCAGGCTGCCGACTTCCACACTCTGCTTGCCTCTTTTGATCTCAAGAGAGTGTTATCTATGGCTACTCACAAATCAAGCAACCAACTGGACCTTATTTACACACGACACTGCTCCACTGATCATGTGCTGGTTACTCCACTGCACACCTCGGATCACTTCCTCCTCAATCTTAAACTAAACATGGTTCCTGACACAACACATACCCCTCCACATGTCATCTTTCTACGTAACCTACGCTCTCTCTCACCCTCCCGGCTATCTGCTATGGTTTCATCTTCGCTTCCTCCTGCTAAACAGTTAGCATCTCTTTATGCTAACAGTGCTACTGATACTTTCTGCTCCACTCTTATATCTTGTTTAGACACTGTCTGCCCCTTGTCTTCCAGGCCAGGCCGTATCACCCCTTCTGCCCCTTGGCTACCTGATGTTCTCCACGAACATCGTTCTAAGCTCAGGGCTGCTGAAAGGGTGTGGCGCAAAGACGCAAATCAAAAAATCCTACTGACCTTAATATGTATCAGTCACTCCTCTCTTCCTTCTCTGCTAATGTCTCCACTGCTAAAAGGACATACTATCATAACAAAATTAACAAGTCGTCTAACTCTCACATGCTCTTTAAAACATTTTCCTCGCTCCTTTGTCCTCCTCCTCCCCCTCCTTCATCAACTCTAACAGCTGATGACTTTGCCACGTTCTTCATTAATAAAATTAAAACCATCAGTGCACAATTTTCCACACCACAATCTGTCAAGCACATCTTATCAGGAAACATATACTTGTTCACATCCTTCTCTTCAATCTCTGAGGCAGAAGTCTCCAAACTCATTCTTTCTAATCATCCTACTACTTGTCCGCTTGATCCTATTCCATCTCATCTCCTTCAAGCCATTTCTCTTGCAGTTGTACCTGCACTCACTCACATCATCAACACATCCCTTCACACTGGTGTTTTTCCCTTAGCATTTAGATAGGCTCGTATAACCCCACTACCTAAGAAACCCACCCTTAACCCATCTCTTTTAGAGAACTACAGACCGGTTTCCCTCCTTCCTTTCATTGCAAAAACACTTGAACGAGCTGTGTTCAACCAAGTCTCCGCCTTTCTCACACAGAACAACCTCCTCGACAGCAACCAGTCTGGTTTCAGAAGTGAACATTCAACCGAGACTGCCTTGCTCTCAGTTGCCGAAGCCCTAAGACTGGCAAGAGTGGAATCCAAATCTTCAATACTTATCTTGCTGGATCTGTCCGCTGCTTTTGACACGGTTAACCCCCAGATCCTCCTGTCAACCCTACTGGCAAAGGGCATCTCAGGAACCGCACTCCAGTGGTTTGAGTCTTACCTCTCAGATAGGTCCTTCAAGGTATCTTGGAGAGGTGAGGTGTCCAAGTCGCAACATCTAACTTCTGGGGTGCCTCAGGGCTCAGTTCTTAGACCACTTCTCTTCTCTGTCTACATGGCATCACTAGGTTCTGCCATTCAGAAACATGGCTTTTCATATCACTGCTATGCTGATGACACGTAACTCTACCTCTCATTCCATCCTGATGATCCGACGATAGCTGCTCGCATCTCAGCTTGTCTAACAGACATTTCTTGCTGGATGAAGGACCATCACCTTCAACTCAACCTTTCCAAGACAGAAATGCTTGTGGTTCCATCAAACCCATCGTTTCATCACAATTTCACCATCCAGTTAGGCACATCAACCATAACTCCTTCAAAAACAGCCAGAAACCTTGGAGTTATGATTGATGATCAGCTGACTTTCTCAGACCACTTTGCTAAAACTGCCTGGTCCTGCAGATTTGCTTTATTCAGCATCAAGAAGATCAGGCCCTTTCTTTCGGAACATGCTTCACAACTCCTTGTTCAAGCTCTTGTTCTGTCCAGGCTGGACTATTACAATGCTATCTTGGCAGGTCTTCCAGCCAGTTCTATCAAACCCTTACAATTAATTCAGAACGCGACAGCAAGACTGATTTTTAATGAGCCAAAAAGAATGCATGTCACACCTCTGTTTATCAATTTGCACTGGCTACCAATAGCTGCTCGCATAAAATT